GTTGAATATACCGCAGGCAGGACCCTCGTCTGAGGCTGAATTCGCCTGGTAATAGTCACAGGACAACTGGCCCATCTCGCAGGTCATTCTCCCGTCCCCACTCTAACTTACGTCGCCGACCTCCCTCGGCGACTTCCTGTCCGTCCACTGCCGCCCCCTCGTCCCCGCCATCGCAGCCATTCACATCGAGTCAATTCTTGTCTCGAAAGAAGGAAGGCCCAGTTTTCCTCCAAGCTGACCGGGTCCCTATCAACTTCAACAAACTCCGGCTCAGGCAAGTAGAAGAAGACCTGCATCATTACTCATAGGTTGGGGAGCGCTGGAAAGCTGATTCGGGGCATGTGCGCAATGGGCAGAAAGCTGACACAGGTCTTTGATTGGGAACATCAATCAAACGATATCCGTTCCCTTTCCAGTGGGTGGACAACTCATACTTGCGTCGGCATCTGACGCAGCTGCTCAAGTTGACCGTCAGATCCGCCCTGCCGACTTCTGGCCCAGTCAACATAGGCTTGTATCTCAGTCAGTCCTGCGGTCTCGAGGTTTGTCGGCGGGTAACAGATTAAACTGCAGGTGTGCTTGGATTCCGTTTCTCTGTGTTGATGAGGGAGCACTGATTGAGAATAGGTGAGTTTACAGACATTGGTGGATCCCAATCAAATATAGTACTACAAAGGATCATTCAACTTTATCAAGCCATCAACACTTTGAACATATCCTATCTTGTCTTTGTGATCAAAGGACATAAATATTATATAACAAGATGAATTTCTTCAATAATCTCTTTAAATCTTCTTCATCCAATCAACCTTTACCAACAGCATCAAACCGTATGCTCGAAAAGACTCCCGATGAGACACCACCACCCAATCCGGGTCAAGTTCGAAAAAGAAATCGACCATCAGCTCTTGATTTAGATGTACCTCTTCCCCCACCGAAAGATCCTGAACCACCAATCACAAATCAAACCATACCTTTACAAACAACACCAAGGCTCATACCACTTGAGATACCAGAAAAAATAAAATCTAACTTACAAAAATTAACAGGTCAATCATTAATTCGTTCACTCCTAAATCCAAGAAGTCTTGAAATTAAACCGGTTGAAGAAAAGTATATTTACATATTTATTGTAAAAGAAGAGGAAAACGGAATAAAATTTAACTTGAAAGAAATTATGCCATATCAAATTATAGCTAAAGTTTTATGGGGACCAGGAAAAAGAGAAATTTCAAAAGCGATCAAATTGACTTATGGTCAAATAAATTTAAGTTCAAATTTAATTGGAAAAAATAAAGAAGGATGGGAACTTGGTTTAAATAGACTTGAATCATATCAATTTTATAGAATTGAATTTATGAATGAAAGTGTTTCTCAATTAGCCATTACCAATCTTCAATATATTTTGAATCAGAAAATTTTGCTCGATGGGTTTTCTGTTATTGCTATTTCAAGTGGATCAGGTGATGAGGTATATAGTAGATTCAAATGGATTGAATCCCCTGGTTCTAGTCTCGTTGAAAATGTTTGGAATAAGATGAAGAAACCTGAAATAGTTGGAAATTTTAAAAGTAGGTAATTTCGTCAAACTTTTTGGGGGGATTGATTGATTGATTGGATGTTTCTAATAATGTTTTTTGTTTTGTTATCTAGTTCAATCAAATCGACCACCACTAATCACCCAAACAAGCTCCATAGAAAACCAACAACTACAAACAATTCCAATCCCAGTAACAGACGAACCAACAACAAAATTAGAAATTATTAGACTACCTCAACAAATCACAATTGAGGAAATTTTGAAAACTTTACTGAATTATAGGCTTTTACCACTTATATTACCTCATCAATTGAAATTGAGTCAAATTTATCAACTTGACTTTAGAAATTTGATTATAAGTTTTGAAGATTCAATTGATTTAAAAATCTCATTAATTAAAATTTCAGAATTTGTTAGAGATTTTAAAAAAAAAAAATTAGTTAAGGATTTATTTGGGTTTGGGTTTGATGTGGTTCCCTGTAAGTTAATCAAGGGTTTTTTTTTTCCTTATTCACTTTTCTTTTCTTTTTTTTGAAAAACCTTTTTCCTGACTTGACTTTTTTTTTACCGCGAAACACTTTATAGTTACAAAGAAATCTATGGAATCTGAAGACCAATGGAATATTTGGGAAGATGCGATTGTATGGGATCAAGATAGAATCACTGAATTCGGTAACCGTTATTGGCTTTTTTTTTTAAGAAAAAAAAAAAAAAAAAAAAAAACTTTGTGCCTTTTTCTAATATTATCTTTTTGTCTCTTAATTTTTTTGTATACAGCTGAAATAGTAGCAAGTGAAGCTAGAAAAAAATCGATATCATCATCGAAAGTTCATAGAGTGATTTCAAATGTTTCTTCTGATGATCAAACAAACAAAACAATACATAAATCGATTCAATTTAAATTACCGAGTATATCCAAAGTATATTTAGTAGAACTTGATAATTTACCGATTTTAGAAAACCCAGCTGGAAGTACTTTAAGATCGTTCCTACTTTCAAATGTAATTAGATTGCCTTCACCAAACATAAATCCTAATCAATTTTTTCCGATCCCTTTTTCAGTTCATCTTGGTAAACCTAATACAAATCATTATCCAACTGCTATATTAGTTTTCAAAGTACCAAGCTTGTCTGGTGAACCTGATAATGATTTTTTAAAACATCGATTGATTTCTGTTATTGATTGGTTTAATAATCCAAAAGGTCAATTAGAATTTGAAAGAAGGAAACTTTACTGGAGTTTTGTGAACGATAATCAAACAATTTATTATCAATTGAAAGATTCAAGAGAATTTGATTTAGTGATTTTTCAGGAAGGTGTTAAGAAAAGGAAAGATCGAGAAGGTAGATATGGTGATTTTTTAGTTGCTCCTGGTTGTTCTCTTGATCTTTCTCGATTACATCGTCGTAGAACAAATTCAAATGCTCCTACAATTGATTCAAATGCTTTAGATTTACTTACTGATGATTCAGATGATGTAGAAGAAAGTGACAATGATAGAATCATTATTCAAGAAGAAGATCAAAATTCAGAAGAAGAAGGTCAAAATTTGACATCGAGTTCATTCATGAAAAGTTTTAAGAAATTATCAACCAAAGAAGAATTAGAAGAAAGATTGAAAAAATTATCAAATGAAATTAACTTTTTAGAATTCCAAAAAGGAGACGAAAAGATTGAAGAGCTTGAAAATAAATCTGAAGCATTTCAAATAGCTAATGAAGTATCTGAAAAGAGATCACTTGAAATTATTATTCAAAAACAAGACTTGAATAGACTTAAACGAAAAGCTGCTGGTAAAAGGAAAAGAAAGTCAAAGTCAAATGCAGATGATGATGATGATTCTGGTGGTGGTGGTGATGAGGGTTTGGACCTAATCGATGGAAACCTGGGTGTTCGTGATATTGATGCTTTGAAGAAGAAAAAAAGGATTAAAAGAATGATGCAAGAGTAAGTTACAGTTTTTTTTTTTGTTATATTGTCATAGAAACTCTTCACTTATGTTTTTCCTTTTCATCTGTATCGACTTTTTTTTTTTATAGGAAGGAACCAGAACCAGATCACTCAGGTATTATCACAAAGTAAGTCGGGTCCATTTCCTTTTTTATTCCGGTTGTCATATCAAGAAACTAATGATTCTTCTTGGCTTCTTTCTAGTCCAAACTTCATTATTGATGAAGAACTCATGAGAAGGAAATTTGCAAGACCTAATGAATGTGAACCTGGAGAAGTTCTCTAGAACTAACAAAAACTCTTGATTTCAATATATCTACAAGTTGTTTTTATATTATATTTTGGTTAAAAGTTTATTAATTGTACCATGATTTTACTTTACTCGAAAAAAAAAAAAAAAAAACTTGGATCAAGAATCCTATGTTAACAAAGAAAAATGTGAAAGATTTGTAACGGTTTTATTGGAAATGTAATGATTGAATGATCCTGTGAAACCCAACTCTTCACAAGCTTGACCTGGAAGATCTGTATGAGCAATAAGTACCTAACCTGATCCCTGGCCCCAGACAAATTGTTTATGGCCAATGCTCTCAGATTTACAGTCACTACTGTCACTCTTTCCTCTATTTCCTTTACACTTACATTGATATCCTTCGTCATCTCTCCTAAGGTAGTTCATAGGGAATTGCTTTGGGTTATCTGACAAAAAGGTCCCAAAAACCATTTCTACCATGTGCTCTCTATCTATCATTGCCTTGTGTGACAAATTCCAAGGATTTCTTTGATGAAGAATTCTTTGGAATTTTTTTTCCAAGTTCTTCAATTCAAGGTTCTGTTTGGCTCTTTACTGACTCTTGGATTCATGCCTTGGTGTAGATGTTCAAGGCACGCTTCATCTGAGCATTCTTTGGATTCTGCCATCCAAGGCAAGTTCAAGTGCCATTACATATCTCCAAAAATCCCGTTTAGAATACCGAACAGTCAACAAAGAAAAGCAGTCCTTATCTCTTCTGGTCGGTCACATAATCTTAGAGGCTAAAGCCATCACAACCTAGATGAATTTATGGCGCTTTGTCAGTTCATCAAAAAAAATTAAAATTAAAATTAAAAAAAAAATTGAATACAATGTAGGTTGAGACCTGCATAAAGACCCTTTGTTATCACTGCTGGTTCCAGAAATTATTGATGAATTTGATTATTTGTGTTTAGACATTGGATCACAGGTTTTTACAACTAGGATCACCAAATTTTGGTCACAGTTGAGTCTTTTGTAGTGTTGAAAACTTATTAGCTTTTTAAAGAGTTCACCTATGGCTATAATTGTACATTTTGTATCCGTTTTCTAGATCTGAGCCCTCTCAGTCGACAGTTTTAAAAAAAACTTTGTAAATGATGGTGTTGATCGAAGAAGAAAAAGCTTGATTCCCTTTGTATTTTCGAATCTCAAAAGGAAGTGGACAGAGGTTATGGCGCGATGAACTGATTTTTTTGTGCTCAATTCGATGACAAGCCCGGTTAGCTCAGTCGGTAGAGCATTCGACTTTTATATAGTTCCACACGGGATATCCCACCTGTGTCATCGAATTGTCGGGGGTTCGAGCCCCCCATTGGGCGTTCTGTTTTTGTTCACGCCTTTTCCGTTTCCTCCCGGTGACCTAACCTTGAAATCTCGATAGCGTCAACCATTTATCTCAATTTTTTATTTATTTTATTTTTTTTTTGGAAATATTCATTTTTTGGGGACTTGCCATCAAAAGTTCTCTTGTTTTCTTTTTTTTGCGCTTTTCCAATACCCTTCTCGTTGGGTCATGAATTCTTTCAAGACCAATTCTATTTTGCAACATCTGGTAGCTAAACGGTCAACATTCTTGTCAGTAGCAAGAACTGCTCAGCGATCGATATCCGAAAATGTATGTGGACCATATTCGATTACAAAACTAGATTATAGAAACTACCTGGCTTGGAACGGAAGCTATTGACTCGTCGATAGCTCACTCATATCGATCTGTCTCACATTTTAGGCTTCATCAAAATGTAGAGCTATCACTCATCCCGATGAGCCCGTTCCGTCGGAGGTTGCGTAAGCTCTAGTGAAGGTCAAGGATGATAACGAGAGGCTAAATTCAGTTGATTTCAATAATCTCTCTAGGGGAAAGATTCAACGATGGGCCGAGTGTACATTGGTACCATACGCTAGGCCCCCTATCATCATATCCAAGGGCAAAGGTTGTAAAGTGTGGGACACCACCGGTCGGGAATACTTGGATTTCACCGCTGGTATTGCCGTTAATGCGCTAGGTAAAACTCTCAGGTTGAAGCTTTATGAGAGACCGTAGCTCGAGACTGACAAACTCCCC